TAGACAGACACTTAACTAGGGATGGAGATTGTTTTTTTTGTTAAACACAAGATTCGGAGGAGGTTTCTTTAATTTTTTATTTAATGTTTTATTTCACTTTTAGGAAACCAAATTTTAATTGCATTCTTAAAAAGTATACATGTATGTTTATTATGAAGAACAAAAACTAGCCTTTCTGCAACTGTACAGCTTTTGCTAAATATGTAATAATATTTAGCAACTATACAGCTTTTGCTAAATATGTAATAATATTCAGCAACTATACAGCTTTTGCTAAATATGTAATAATATTTAGTGCAGTAAGCGCAACGTTTGTATTCTTTCACTGGTAAAATAACTTGTTGTTATACCAATACGAGTTTTGTTTGATATATATACAAGAAGACTATTGTGAATGGAATCTTTATTATGGAAATGTAAAATTCAAAACAATTTGGCTTATAGTTTTCATTTATCATTTATCATTTATAGTTTTCATTTATCATTTATCATTTATAGTTTTCATTTATCATTTATCATTTATAGTTTTCATTTATCATTTATCATTTATAGTTTTCATTTATCGCTTCGCATCAACTCACTTGATCAGAGCAATGTTTAAATAATTTTTTTTTTCATTTTTCAATTGTGACAAACATTTCTGAATTTTCTTAAAGTCATAATCCTTGAAAGGTTTAAAATCGATCTCCATTTCTACAGTACTACAGAGAATCAAATATATGATACAGTAATACAATATGAGAAACATCAAAGTGAGAAATTTTATTTTTTATTTTTTTTTATTTTCTTTCTACAAGTGTAATTTTTTTAACCTTTAAAATATTCTAAACTGTGTCTGTATCTTAGACAAAATAAGGAAAATAACGTGTAGTTTTTATAACTTTAAAATGAGGTTTAATTCTGATAATTTCTACATTGCTACTGAAAAAAGCAATTGTGCAAGTCGTACAAAAACCATGATTAAAAATGTTGATCAGAAAACGGGTTTAAAGACACCTTTTTTGTATCGTTGATGATTTATCAATGGAATCGGAGGGTCACAATAGATTTTACAGTCCCTTTAAGGGGTTAAACCCTAGATACATAAGAATAGATTGCTTATGCCAAGGTTATAATGCAAGGAAAGTTAATTGCAGCTGCGTATACTCTCCGTACATATTGAAACCTGCAGTTCTCTCTGGGCGGAATTTGTAAACAAGAATAGATGCATCACTATCAGTGTTCGTTTGATATCCGAGGAGGATAAAAGCATTAAATTTTGATAATTTTGATAATTCACATAATAGTTTCCTATGACCAGAATATTTCATTGATTTTTTTCTGTGAAAGATGGATGTCATTTCAGGCTTCGACATCCGTCTTGTGTTTACATTACCACTCAGAGACAGTACACTGCAGTACAAAAGATGCGTACACCTTTGAAATAACTTTCCTTGTATTATAACCTTGGTTTATGCAGACAATAAAGCTGAAAATTGTACATCCCGTTGTACATCATTAACTCGCCATACAAAAAGGTCAAAAGGTCAAAGTTTTTTTTAACTTATCATAGCATTTCTATGCTTTACTGGTCCTATGAGCCCGAAATTCAAAAGAGTATTATTGAACGATACTTCCGAGTTTTCTTTTTGGGGTCTTAACATTTGTGTAGATTTTTTATTTAAGAGATTCGAAAAAAATGGCGAATTTGTAAAAACTAAATAAAATAATATTTCATAACAAAAATATTGATATCCACAAAACTGCCTAACCCCATTCGTGAAACCCGGGTTCTAAAACTGGTTTCATAACGATATCCTGTCTTAAGTTTTGGGCGCTGAACAAAACAAAACACCCCATACATGTCAACAAAGTATGAACAATACTTGCCGCATCTCTTTATACTCAAGGCACCGTATTAAAGTCATATTTTCAATTTCATCTGAAACAATCCGGTATGACGACATGAGCCATCTGGTCTAATTTATCTAGGGGTCACACCCATTGAGATTTAATTGGGAAGTTTAAGTTTGGGAAACTTCCCAACCTAACATCATAGTATTTTAATAGGAAGAATAATTGATAGCTCCTACCAATTAGGGCCAAATATGGAATCAATCCCTTTTTTTTTGTAGCAAATATCACTTTTATAACAGTAAAATTTTATTTCCAAAACCAAATATTAGAATTTTCCAAATATTTATTCAAACAAATATCTATATTTTAACACATTGTTATTTCGAATTTTACAATTCGTAAAAAGATTTCATAGAATTTAAAAAATATATTTTCCCGTATTTTCTTTATTAAGATATTCTCTCTAGTAAAGAAGCAATCATGACATGTAATCAACCTTGTACTTTGCAGGGTCCGTGAAAAATGAAAAGGAGTTATAGGCTGAAGAACCCAAATCAAATTAGGTTTTAATCGCTCCCAATTTTACCAAGCTTTGATCGCTACCAACTTTACGAAGCTTTGATCGCTCCCAATTTTACTAAGCTCTGATCGCTACCAACTTTACGAAGCTTTGATCGCTACCAACTTTACGAAGCTTTGATCGCTACTAACTTTACTAAGCTTTGATCGCTACTAACTTTACTAAACTTGTTATTATGCTAAGTGTATGTTACAGATTAGATTGTAGGTATATGCAGGGAATAAGATAAAGTGTTCTTTATTCAAAGAATATGTATATTTGTAGCGTTGTATCTATTCAATTTATTGATATTTATCAATATATTTATCCCAATTCTAAGCATGTTATCAGGCATTGTACCTTTATATTTTTTTGTTTTTCTTCTCAAGGACATGAAAAAGAAAATCATTGAATTTTATACATTAATTTATAATCTATGAAGTTGATAGTTAAATGTGGATATTTTAGAAAAAACGGGATGGCAAAAAAAATTAGAACGTTTTGATAAAAAAATCGGGTTGAAATTATTTAAAAAATAATGAAAAGTAAAAAATCTCGATTTTCCTTTTAAACCAGAATAAAAAACCTTCTTTTTAAAAATTCGACGCCCATCCCTGTTCCCCTATTTAGAGGACATACATTATTTGTATGATTAATGTAGATCTAATAGGTCCAACTAATGCCAAGGTAAATATTCTGGTCAGTAGATTATATTGTTAAATATGGTTCTCGAAGCCAAACCTCTCCTCATTAGAGATGAGAATCGTTTTCGTTAAACAAGAAAATATTTCAAAACAAACGAAGAAAACAAAAACAAACGATTTAAAACCGTGAAAAATCGTTTGCGTTTTATTGTTCATAGTCAGACCGCAAACGAACTATTTCAAAACCGTTTGTTTGATCGAAATTGAAAAAAAAATATTTTTATTGAACAAACAATTTTTTACAAACTAAATAAACGAATATTTTTTATTGGACCATTGCATGATTTATTGAACGAACGATTATACTGAATGAACAATCATACTCAACGATTAATTTATTTAAACGATCGTTCCGTCAGAAAACTAACAAATTTCTAAAAACGACCAAATTAAAATTTTCGTTTACCGACGGAAAAAAATCGGATCGTTAATGAACGATAACCAAACAAATTAAAAAAGAGGAGAAAGCGACCATCTCTACTCTTCCTATCCCTGGCTACCCTGGAGAATGCGCCCATCTCTACTCCTCCTATTCCTGGCTACCCTGGCTTCTTCAAAAGTAGTAGATTATGAATGTTCTGAAAAAGCTGGACATTTTATGAATAGATTGATTGATTTATCCTATATTCCTTTAGAAGATGCTTTACAACATGAATCCTTTTTATTCAAAGAGAACTCAACCTTTTGGCAGGAACGAACCCTGTGTTCCAAAAAAAGTTAATGTTTCCATTACGACACAAATTCAGATTCATTAACTTGAAAATTGACTGGACCCGATAATTTAGAAATACGTAAAATTTTTCCGCTTTTTCCTCTGGTGCATTTACAAAAATAAATGTATACGAAAATTAATGCATTTGTTGCATTACTAATTCAAAATATTGCAAAATTTTCCTTTTTATTTGGTTTAACTTTTAAAGTTTCCAGAGAACAACTTATGTTGGCTAAAGCTAATGCGAAAACTTTGATTTGATGCAAAAAAACTGCAACACATTTTTTCTTCGTTGGTTTCATAATTATATTTATATAAGAAAGAACAACTTTTCGTTTAATTATGTAATATAAATGTTTGAGGTACATGTGTGAAAAAGATTAAATACAAATCTCTAGAAAAAATCTTGGCAGTTTAACAAACAATAAGAATAGATCTTTAAATTACAACTAAAAGCTTTAATGTTTATTTAAAATATGATAATATGTTCAGATAAGATCCACGGTTTTGTATGTTCAAAAATCTACCATTTTATCCTGTAAACTAATATTTTCCCCCACCATTTTCTAATCCCTGTATCTTTGCAACTTGATGGTGTAAACCTTTTATTTTTCAACCTTTGCACTGTAATCTTGCCAGGCTACATTTGTTGCATAAAACGTGCTGGGTCGACTCTATACTGGGTAGCCTGACTGGACAGTACGACAGACTGAATATACAGTACGTGTTGTACCGGCACGGAATATGCTAATTTTAGACTGGGGTATTTGATCTAACAGTATTTTTGTTGTTAATTATATTTACGGTACTTAAGGTTGCAAAGTTAATACAGTTTTTTACAAGTCCTTTGCTCTTTAATATTTCATTATAAAATATATATTTTCAGAGAATAAGTTGACTAGAATGGTTGTGACAGGAGTGAATAACAATACAGGTTCCAGGCTGTAGAAAGGGCAGAGGAAGGGATGGGGACTTTATTTTTTTTTAAACGCGTTTTAAAAATTTCAAACGATGGCTTGAAAAGTTTTCGTTAAAAATTTGTAAAATTATCGTTTGGGTAAATTTTAAAATGGTCATTTTGAAAAAGAAATCGTAATTTGTTTTGAAAGCAAAACGCGATTCCCAAATTGGATAAATAAAACGGAAAACGGAAAAAATAAAACGGTTCCCATCCCTAGGCAGAGGAGGGGTGGCTGAGTGGTGCAGGAGAGGAGGGGTTGCTGAGTGCTGCAGAGGGGAAGGAGGGATAGTCAAGAGCAATGAAGGACTGGATATCAATAGATTTGTGACTTTAAGTGCTTGATTGTGGACTTTCCACAAAGTGAGGCGGACAATTGAGAGAATTCGGAGTCTGCATTGATGGAATTTAAAAAGTGTTCAGTGAGAAACTTTCTTCTTCATTTTGTCAACAATTGATCAAAAGAGTTCTAATAATGCAGTAGAAATATGTCAGTTTTGGACATAATTTGTGATTTTCTTCCTAAATGACTGGAGTCAACAGCTGGAATTATCAAGATGATAAATAATTCTTTCTGGACAATTATTTTCACAGTTCAGCTGAAAGGTAAATCTATATAATAAAACAAGACATTTATATGCATATATGTTACGTATAGCCGGCCAAACGGCTTGACCGATTGGGCTGAAATTTTTGTGTGGAAACCCATGGGTGGCCGGGGTGTGTTTATAGGCTATGCAAATTCGAAATTTTGACTTTCAAAAATTATTTTTTCTTTTCAATTTTTTTTCCTCGGGCAACGTCAGGCCCTTCAGCTAGTTATTAATATTTTTATTAATACTTTTATAGAGATTCAAACGTTTAGATAACCCATCATTAAAAATGGATTCTCAACACTAACATTTATTTCTTTATCTAAAAGTTAGAATTAGAAGAAATCGTTAAATTCTGTTAATTTTCTACTTTGTGTAAACACTTTCACAGAAAACCCACAGTTGATAATTATCAATTTTCAGATAAAAAAAAAGAATATCTTTTATAACTAAAGATTACTATTTCCAATCGGGTACATGATGAATCTTAAATTTTAGTAGCATTAAAATATATTTCTATGTTCCCTTCAGATTAACTTTCGTTGATGGCAATACCGGACCGGATTTTAAAATGGTATCCTTCAAAGCTTTGTCAGATCAAATATAAATTAGATACGATGTTTGTAATTTAGAAAACTGTTTATTTTCAATTGTGGCTTTTCTTTAAAAGTTATTTGCGCATTTCTACTACAGGAAAACATATAGGAATGATCAGAATTAAACACTTTTAACCCCAGAAATAATAATAATTGATCAAATAACAGCAGCGAGTGTGCCATTGTGAATCTAGCATTTCTATTTTTGCATTGGGGGTGACTTGAAATTACGGTCCCAGTTCAAATGTTCTTGTAATAGTTTGGTAGTCAAAGGTCTTTTGAAAGTCTAAACTCCGAGTCAACATTGATTTTCAAATTTTTGGAAATTCAAAATTAGATTAGGTTTCAGGGAGGGTACCGTTGGACCCCTATAGCAAATTCCTACTTTAGTCCAGTTTGGGTTTAGGTTACCCATATGTTCATTAATACTTTTAAAAGTCTAAAAACCCAATCATCATTGTTTTATAAACTTTCAGAAATTCAAATTAGATTTTAGTTTTCAGACGCAAAGTTTAATTCATTTCAATCCAGGGAAACAACACAAAATTTCAAATAGGTATAAATAAAAACCAATAAATCAGATCTAAGCTTTCATGCTTTCTAGCTCAACTAAATAAACAAACTAACTAAATAAACAAAGGAAGAAATTCTGTTGTAAAAGTGTTAACCCTTCCCTGACTACAAGGTGTGGGGGGGGGGGTCGTTTTTTACCGATACTAAACAAGTATTTTTAGTCATTGGGGGTTCAAAAAGTACTTTTTATATAGGTAGACCAACGACGATATCTTCCACATCATTAATAAGATAAAGATTTCAAGGGAATATTATCGTGAATCCAACATGTATAGTTCTTTAGATAAAAGCTAACATGAAAATACAACAAAAATATCTCGATCCATGTTTAAAATGTTTAAAATTTACAAAATTCTTCACATTCAGGCACTAATCGAAATAGACTAAATTTTTACAATGCAAAAATTAGTGCTTCTTTCAAATAATATTTTATTTATGATGTTACGGACTGCAGTAAGCGTAATTTCCAGTTACCCTCCATGCAAAGAAGATGATGTCCTTTTTACAATTTACAATCCTTTAAAGGTTTGTCTGTTTGTTTTCATTTGCGGTTTCTCTGTGGCGTAAGAGACAAAAGCACATTCATTGTGTTTAAGAAGCAATGGGGAAACCCACACTTTTCGAGTAAAAAAACGACGGTATCTTCCACATTTCTGATCAAATTAAGGTTTTAAAGCGCATTCATTGTGTTTAAGAAATAATGGAGAAACCCACACTTTTCGAGTAAAAAAAACGACGGTATCTTCCACATGCCTGATCAGATTAAGGTTTTAAAGCGCATTCATTGTGTTTAAGAAGCAATGGAGAAACCCGCACTTTTTGAGTAAAAAAACGACGCGAATCTTCCACATTCCTGATCAGATTAAGGTTTTAAAGGCACCGTTACAGAAACTGCCATCTTTGTATGGAGGGTCACTTAAACTTACGCTTACAGTCCCTTTTAGATATTTTTAATAATGTCTTAAAAATGCTTAAACAGGGGTGAGATGAAATGTTTAAAGTGAAACTAAGATTCAAGGAACAATTTTGCGCTTCGCGCAAATCTTGCCCCCCCCTACATTTATTTCTGTATACGCCCTTGTAATCGTTCATCAAAAAACAATCAACGGATAAATTCGTTAACTATTGAAGTTTTTTTTATGTTTTAAAAAGGATAGTTATGCTGTTCGATCTCATCTGTATGTAGCTAATTCTAAACCGGAATTATAGAATAACGCCAGTCCGAACTGAAGTGCCTGCAATGTTTTCTCATGAAATCACATAAATCGTCCATTATAACGCAGAAAACGACCACCTATGCCGAATCGTCCATTATAACGCAGAAAACGACCACCTATGCAGAATCGGTACACCACTAATACTATGTTACCAAGGGGGATTGAAAAAATTTAGTCTTTGCCTCAAACTCAAATGTTCTAATCCTTATATCTTTGCAAACTGTTGGTGAAAACCTTTGAAATTTAAAACTTCGATAATTTGATCTTACATATTTTACAGTTTGAAATATCTAAGGTCTACGACATAGGATTGTACAGATTAAGGATTAGAAAGTAAGAGTTTGTGGCAAAGAATCAATTCATTTGTCGTTCAAATTATGACATACTAAGTACTACGATTATATGCCTGGAAAAGGTAGCTTATGCACATACATGCAAACAAATTCTCTGCTTTTAGAGTAAGAATAATATTAAAATATTTCTAAAAAGCAAACATTAAATTTAGGTTTAAAATCCAATAAAGGATTCAGATTGATCATGCAACTTTCAGATTAAATTATTTAGAACATGTGTTTGGAACTTTGGAGATAGACATCGCTTTTTTGAAAAATAACAAAATTTTTGAGAAAGAACAAAAGTTTTCGCAGAAAAGGGTATTGTTCATAAAAAACGAACAAAATGGATCGTTCAGAGAAATGAAAAATTGATCGTTTTTTAAAAACGAACGAAAAAAAAACTATTTAAAATTGTTTGAACAAACTTAAAAAAAACTTTCGTTTATTTACCGAATAAAAGAATATATTTAACAAAGACTAAAGCTTTTTACTTAACAAATGGTTTTTGTAGCAAATGATAATTTTGAGAGCAAACTAAATCAATTTTTTTAAATATCTAAAAAAACAAACAAAATGGGTCGTTCACGAACAATGAACAAACGAAATGAAAAAAGTTGAACACCCCCATCTCTACATTTGTTTTGGGAGATTTAAACTTTGTGAAGACAAAAACATGATAAATAGATATAATTCAGAAACCACTATATTAAAGGGACTAAAGACGGTATTTCATGTGACCTTCATGCAAAGAATGGCATTATTAGAATAATAATTTGAGAAAATTGAGAATTTTTTATGATTATTTTCATTGGATTAGCATTATTTTTATACATTTTAAGCAAAAAATAAAAACATCTCGTTCATGTATTAAAGATATGTGATCCATACATGAATGAACGAAGGCTCACTTGAAATCACTTGTTTACTGTTCAGTCCCTTAGAAGAATCATAATTATTAGTTTTGTTAAGGTTTGGCTAGTTATATTCATTAGAGATAGACATCGTTTTTGTGAATGAACAAATAGTTTTATAAACAATGGTGTCGTTAAGAATCGGTCAGAGAAATGAAACAGCTATCGTTTTCATAAAAACGAAAGAAAAAACAAACGATTTAAAATTTAAGCAATCTTGATCGTTCATGAATGCAGATTTCAAAAGCATTTGTTCAAATGAACGAAATGAAAAAGTAATTTAGATGCCAAAAATAATTTTGTCGATCTGCTTTATTTAATATTATTATTTTTTGTCTTAAATTTTATTAGAATGTTAGTTTGAGTACTTTATTCAGGGATTTCCTTGATGGATGTTGCCCATGGTCCCTCGTTTATCTATGAGCCTCCGGCCCGTGTACTTATCTCAAGCGGAAGTGGCGGTACAGTACCATGTTCAGCACATGGTATCCCTCCGCCCAGCCTGTCCTGGCTAGACAGCATGGAACAACCGGTTTCTGTCATTAAAGGTAACTTTAAATTCTTTTATTGGAATACACAGTAGGTTTCTAATCCGAATTCTGCTACGCCGAACTGTGATGGTATTGCTATTTGTTTTGTCTATTTGTTTATTCGATTATAGTTAACTATAGCAATTTCCCTTCAATTTTGATTGGGGCGGTATCATGCGGTAACCGCCAAAAAAGTCCTTGGAAAAAAGTTTCCGGAAAAAAGTCCTACTAATTCGAGACTTTATTTTCTAGGACTTTTTTTCTGGCTCCAGTAAAATTTTATACAAAAAAGTCCTCTAACAGGTGAAAATGCATGATTCACAATGGAAAAAAGTCCTGGTTGTAAACATCCTATCAATATTCGTAGGTTATTTATTACATATGTATATAATTATCACGAGTTTAGTTAGTATTTTCTTTTTCATATTACTTAAGAATATAAAACTAGCCCTGTATATGATGTACATAGTACACTTGTACGGGGCCCTGTATATGATGTACATAGTACACTTGTATGGGGCCCTGTATATGATGTACATAGTACACTTGTACGGGGGATTTTATACACAACCTTTTTTAGGACTTTTTTTCTGCAGACAATTAAATCACTGAGTTCAAATTTCCCGAGACTTAGGACTTTTTTTCTAGGTTTTTCTTTTCCTCGGATTTATTTTCTTCAGGACTTTTTTTCCTGAGATCTTATTTCCGGAAACTTTATTGGCAGCCCCCATACTATTTTAGGAAAAAAAGTCCCAGGAATTTAAAACACAGGACTTTATTTCCAGTGACATTTTTTCCAAGGACTTGAGAAAATTCGGACTTTTTTCCAAAGTTTTTATTTTCAGGGTTTTTTTCCAGAAACTTTTTTTCCCGGGACTTTCTTACATAGATTTGTATCATGCATGGGGCGGACTCCCCCTAAATAGAAATTTTTAACCATTTCAACACAATGTTAGATATAGAAAGCAATGTAATTACATTTTCCGAAATTCATTAATGTATTTTTATTCGAAAAACACATTAAAAATCATCTTTGTCTCGAGTAAATATTAATTATCAAATGTCTTCTAATAACTTTCAATGTTTTAACATTCTTAGCTTGGTTTGAAAATTCTTTTTGTATTTTTTTTCTAAAGGTTTGCGGGAGGTGCTGCAAAATGGAACTCTCTGGTTTCCTCAGTTTAATGCACGAGATTACAATGCACAAATCCACGAACAAGAGTACAGGTCAGATTTATTCTAAATATTTAAAGGTGTCTAAATAAAACGGGGTTTATAGACCCATTTTTTAACGGATTTTCAAGATTGTGACCAATTTTGAAGTCTACATACAGTTTCTTATTCAATGAGCCCTATTTCAGGCTTGTAGATTTAAACTTACAATTAAGTAGGCTCCTAAAGTTTTCAATTGTAGCTAGTAAAAAGTAAAATGTATTTTGTATTTAATGTTAGGTTGAAGTTTATTACTTTTATATATTACTATCTTATTCAAAATGTCCATAATTAGCAGCAACACACCCCTTGATCTAACTTCAAAAATATCCTTTTTGTAAACAGCAGTCCAGCTATTTATCTCCTGATTTTGACCTCAAATAGGTGTAGGTGCCTATAACAATGCATTGTTATTTTTAAATCAACATGCCTAAAATTGGGCTCATTGAATCGAAAAAATGTACGTAGATTTTTAAAATGATCTTAATCTTAAAAATCCGATTAAAAACGAGCCTGTAGACCCTTATTCCCAGTTTTATTTGAGACACCCTGTATGTATATATATTTGAGACAGGGTGTATGTATATATTTTGTTTATTTTTTTTTTCTTTGTTTTCTCCATTACCTTTCTGAAAAAAAGTTTTAACGTAACTTTTTTAAAAATTAAATTTGTTTTAGATGTGTTGCAACAAACCCTGCAGGCGTTATTGTCAGTCGACATTCAAGTATTAGGTATAAACAATGTGATGTGATGCCATGTAAATAGTTTTAAAGCTCTGTTAAAAGATAAAGAAAGCGTAAGTTCAAGTATTAGGTATAAACAATGTGATGTGATGCCATGTAAATAGTTTTAAAGCTCTGTTAAAAGATAAAAAAATGCCCGATATCCAATTGTACCCTCAAAAAGCTTTGTCAAAATTTCTAAATCATGTTTTTAATTTCGAAAACTGATTATTTTTTTCAATTGGGGTTGCTCTGCAAAAGTGACTTGTGCATTTCTTCTGCAGGAAAACTATAAGAAAATTCAATGATTTTAAACCTAGAAAATCGACAATATTTTCCACATAATTGATAACATAATTTTATTGTTTAGTACTGTCATGTCTGTGTTTTGATGAATTAATGAATATTTTATTGTTCACTACTGTCATTTCTGTGATTTGATGAATTAATGAATATTTTATTGTTTAGTACTGTCATGTCTGTGATTTGATGAATTAATGAATATTTTTTTGTTTAGTACTGTCATGTCTGTGTTTTGATGAATTAATGAATATTTTATTGTTTAGTACTGTCATGTCTATGTTTTGATGAAGAATGAATATTTTATTGTTTAGTACTGTCATGTCTGTGTTTTGATGAATTAATGAATATTTTCATGTTTAGCACTGTCATGTCTGGATTTCAGTTCTCTTTGACTGTCTACAGCGTTTCAGTAGAGGTAAGTTGCAGAACCTTCCCTTTAAAGTATTTTACGTGACCTTCAATTTCAAGAGAGACATTATTCAGAAGTTCTAATGGTTCCCTTTAAACTTTTATCTGATCTATATTTTGGAAGACATTATCGATTTTCAATCTTGAACAGTTTTTAATTATGACGATTTTCTCTATTGTTTCAGCAAAAAACCCGCAAGACAATGTTTAAAAGAATTTAAAAATTGAAAATAATATTATTAATACCATTATATAATCGTAGAAATTGATATTTTAAAAATATGTTGCAAAAAAATAAGTAAAATTGTTTCATCCTTGGGGAACTCAGAAGATTAAATTAAATTAAAGGATTTAACATTTAAGAATAAAACTCTCTGCTTTTTCCTCTTCAAAGTTCCGAGTTCTTTCATGGTCTTGAATTTATAAATTAATCAAGGTAGAAGGAATTCCAGGATACAGGATACAGTTGGATACAAGATACAGTTGGATACCAGATACAGTTGGATACCAGATACAGTTGAAAACCAGATACAGTTGGATACCAAATACAGTTGGATACCAGATACAGTTGAAAACCAGATACAGTTGGATACAAGATACAGTTGAATACAAGATACAGTTGGATACCAGATACAGTTGAATACCAGATACAGTTGGATACAGGATACAGTTGGATACAGGATACAGTTGGATACAGGATACAGATGGATACAAGATACAATTGAAAACCAGATACAGTTGGATACAAGATACAGTTGAATACCAGATACAGTTGGATACCAGATACAGTTGGATACAAGATACAGTTGGATACCAGATACAGTTGGATACAGGATACAGTTGAATACCAGACACAGTTGGATACAGGATACAGTTGAATACCAGATACAGTTGGATACAGGATACAGTTGAATTCCAAATACAGTTGGATACAGGATACAGTTGGATACCAGATACAGTTGGATACAGGATACAGTTGAATACCAGATACATTTGGATACCAGATACAGTTGGATACAGGATACAGTAGGATACAAGATACAGTTGGATACAAGATACAGTTGGATACCAGATACAGTTTTATACCAGATACAGTTGGATACCAGATACAGTTGGATACCAGATACAGTTGAAAACCAGATACAGTTGGATACCAGATACAGTTGGATACAGGATACAGTTGGATACCAGATACAGTTGGATACAGGATACAGTTGAATACCAGATACAGTTTGATACAGGATACAGTTGGATACAAGATACAGTTGGATACCAGATACAGTTGGATACAGGATACAGTTGAATACCAGATACAGTTGGATACAGGATACAGTTGGATACCAGATACAGTTGGATACCAGATACAATTGGATACCAGATACAGTTGGATACAAGATACAGATGGTTACCAGATACAGTTGGATACCAGATACATTTGAATACCAGATACAGTTGGATACAGGATACAGTTGGATACAGGATACAGTTGAATACAGGATACAGTTGGATACAGGATACAGTTGGATAAAGGATACAGTTGGATACAGGATACAGTTAGATACAGGATACAGTTGGATACAGAATACAGTTGGATACCAGATACAGTTGGATACAGGATACAGTTGGATACAGGATACAGTTGGATACAGTATACAGTTGAATACCAGATACAGTTGGATACATGATACAGTTGGATACCAGATACAGTTGGATACAGGATACAGTTGGATATAGAATACAGTTGGATACCAGATACAGTTGGATACAGAATACAGTTGGATACCAGATACAGTTGGATACAAGATACAGTTGGATACCAGATACAGTTGAATACAAGATACAGTTGGATACCAGATACAGTTGAATACCAGATACAGTTGAATACCAGATACAATTGAATACAAGCTACAGTTGGATACAAGATACAGTTGGATACCAGATACAGTTGGATACAGGATTCAGTTGGATACCAGTTACAGTTAGATACAAGATACAGTTGGATACAAGATACAGTTGGATACATGGGAGTAGTGGATATATGTTACAGTTGGATACAGGGTACAGTTGGTTACAGGGGAGTAGTGGATACAGGGTACAGTTGGATACAGGATACATTTGGATACAGGGTAGTAGTGGATACAGGATACATCCGGATACAGGGCAGAAGTGGATACAGGATATAGTTGGATGCAGGGGAGGAGTAGATACAGGTTAAAATTGAATACAGGATAGTAGTGGCCGATACAGAAGAGTAGTAGATATTAGTAGATATATAAAATAGTTTTAATGCCAAATCAAGATCAAATCTATTCAAAACATTGCCAATAAAAATATTTTTTTGGTTTAAATAAATCGACCTCATGAATTTTTACTTTAGGTTGGAAATATTGCCTTAATGAAGTGCGGTGGGGGTCGAGAATACATAGATGTAATAGGTATATATATAGAATATATAGATGTAATAGGTATATATATAATATATAGATGTAATAGTTAAATATTTAGAATATATAGATGTAATAGGTAAATATATATAGAATATATAGAAGTAATAGGTAAATATATATAGAATATATAGATGTAATAGGTAAATAAATAAAGAATATATAGATGTAATAGGTACAATATATAGAATATATAGATGTAGTAGGTATATATATAGAATATATAGATGTAATAGGTAAATATTTAGAATATATAGATGTAATAGGTAAATATATATAGAATATATAGATGTAATAGGTAAATATATATAGAATATATAGATGTTATAGGTAAAAGTATATAGAATATATAGATGTAATAGGTAAAAATATATATAGAATATATAGATGTAATAGGTAAATATATATGGAATATATGGATGTAATAGGTAAATATATATAGGATATATAGATGTAATAGGTAAATTTATATAGAATATATAGATGTAATAGGTACATATATATAGAATATATTGATGTAATAGGTACAAATATATAGAATATATAGATGTAGTAGGTATTTATATATAGAATATATAGATGTAATAGGTAAGTATTTAGAATATATAGATGTAATAGGTAAATATATACAGAATATATAAATGTTATAGGTAAAAGTATATTGAATATATAGATGTAATAGGTAAATATATATAGAATATATAAATGTTATAGGTAAAAGTATATAGAATATATAGATGTAAAAGGTACAAATATATATAGAATATATATAAAAATGAGTCACAGTAATTTCTTGTTATTGGTCCATGGATGTTGTAGTAATTTTTGCTGGAAAATTTAACTAAACATCTAAAATTACATAAAAATACAAATCCGGTATTTTGAAACATGTAAATGCGGGAAAACAAAGATTTCAAAAGGAAATTTAGTAGTTTATGAACATGTTCATGTTCAGGGACTTTGTTTGTTTATCCATAATTTGCTTCAGTGAGCTGTCCCCTCATCCTTTTTTCTACATCCATGTTCAGGTTGGATGAGGGATAGTGATGAACTTCATACATCAGGACGAATACTTATTACAACAGCTGGAGACCTTCATATAAAGGTAGCTGTAACGTTGCCTCAAATATTAATCTCTTACCTTTCCTTTTTTTGCCGCCAATTATCGATTTTTTGCTTCTAATCTCCTTTTTTTCTGCCGAAATGTTTCTCCCCAATTCCATTCTTTTCGCCTCTAGTTACAATTTTTCGCCTCCTACAATTACAATCATTTTGCCTCCAAGTTTTCCTAACTATCTCTCTACATGCAAATCTCAAACATCAGTCTCCAATTTCCATTTCTTTACCTTGGACTCATGATCCCCCCTCTCTGCCTCTGATTTCCTTTTCTTCACCTTAGAGGCTCTTATCCCCACCTCTTAACCTCCCATCTCGATTTCTCCACCTTAGAGGCTCTGATCTTCACCTCTTAACTTGAAATCCCAATTTCTCCACCTTAGAGGCTCTGATCTTCACCTCTTAGCTTGAATTCCCAATTTCTCCACCTTAGAGGCTCAGATCTTCACATCTTAACTTGAAATCCCAATTTCTCCACCTTAGCGGCTCTGATCTTCACCTCTTAACTTGAAATTCAATTTCTCAACCTTAGAGGCTTTGATCCCCACACCTTGACCTCCGATTCCAATTTATCCACCTCGGAGGCTCTGATCCTCACTGCTCTGCCTCCAAATTTATTTCTATATTTTCAAGGATGTGCAGTTTACTGATTCCATTTATCACTACAGGTATTATTCAATATTTTATTAAGCATAATATTTTTTACAATTTTCAACATCTCATTTTGAAATGATCAATTCATTTGAGAGATCAAGATCATATGTAAGATCAAGATCATTTATAAGATCAAGATCATTTATAAGATCAATATCATTTGTAATATCAGGATCATTTGAGAGATCAAGATCATCTGTAATATCAAGATCATCTGTAATATCAAGATCATATGTAAGATCAAGATCATTTGAGAGATCAAGATCATTTAAGAGATCAGGATCATTTGAGAGATCAAGATCATGTGTAAGATCAAGATCATTTGAGGGATCAAGATCATATGTAAGATCAAGATCAATTGAGAGATCAAGATAATATGTAAGATCAAGATTATTTGAGAGATCAAGATCATATGTAAGATCAAGATCCTTTACTTAGGTACAATCGAATATAAAGAAAAAAGTTAGACCATTATGAATTTTGAACAGTTTAAATGACTTTATTTTGTTTTTGACAATTTCAAAACGTTGTTAAAAAAAAACCAGTTTAACATTTTTGTGTAGGAAAAAGTAACATCTCGTTTTCAAAAAATGTTTTTTTTTGAACCCTCCAACATTTTTTAAATGACTTCAAAATCGTTTTTTTGTTTTAATTATAGGTTTTTACAAAGTCGTTATTATTATTAATTTTAACAATTGTTGAGAGGGTAAAAAGTAGAATTATGTTTTCGATTAAAACAAGATTTTGGACTCTCATTCCATGATATTTACTCCAGTTCTATTTCAGTTGTAAATACAGGAATAAGATATCAGGAGAGGAAACTTTGAGCAAACCAGGATCCATCAAAGTTACAGGTTACAACTTTACAATCAGACATGGCGATAATCTACTGTCGTCTCAATACAATGAAGACGACTTTCGATTTTAAATTTTAATATAAACCCAGCTTTTAAACAGCCTTGGACACTATCCATTGGATAGTGGATACTCATAAACAAGGAAGCAAATAGAAGCTGTCAATAGGTAGTTTCTTTTATTAACTTGTAAACTTCTAATTTGAATAAAACTTGTAAAAAAAAGAAAAAATCGTCTTCATTGTATTAATTTTAACGCCGACCACTGTATGATGTAAACAAATCTCGAACAGATCCAATAATATCTACAGGTTTAAATGAACCCCCCCAGCATATCCTAGTTTTCAAGTACCCCAGCAGAGATAGGGTTAACGGATAGTAGATAGTAGATAACAAATAAATTTAGTTTGTAGAAAGATAAAATTAGTAGATATAGCTAAGATTAGTAGATATACTAAGCTTATAGTAGATAAATTAACAGATAGATAGAACTTAGTGGATAGATAGATAACACGATCAACTTTAAAAAGTAGAAATTTAAATTTCGGAAACCTTGTAGTAAACACCTGCCCCATAACAAGTTATCTAAGATATCTATCCAGGCACAACTCGTCCTCTATCAGAGTCAACCAGGACACAATCCCTCTGGCTCTAAATGCCACACAGGGAAAGAAGCGTAGCTATCAAACAAGCTATTAGTTCAACCAGGACACAACCCCCCTGCCTATAAATGCCACACAGGGAAAGAAGCGTAGCTATCCAACAAGCTATTAGTTTAACCAAGACACAACTTACCTGGCTCTAAATGCCACACAAGCGGAGCTATACAAAAGCTATAAATCGATCCCAAATGATGGGGACGATTTAATGCTCTAAATGCCATACAGGGACACACACACGCAGACGCCTAGCTATCAAACATAAATTGTTAATAATGTACAACGCTATACAATATGTGCTACAACCTTAGGGACCATTTATTGTCTCCGTTTTACACGAATAGAAATTAGGAAAAGGGGGGGGGGGTAGCTAGATATTAAAATTTGTAAAACTCAATGCCCTAATCTCCAAATTTAGGTTCACAACTAAAGTTAGCCTGTACTTACCAAGACCAGAATATTCAATACATACGTCCTCCTTATAAAACCGGTTCTTTAGTGAATTTTTTGCATTTTTAAAACACTTTTTGTAGATCAAACCAATAAAATAAGAAAATTAATCTACCATTTTTATTCTGGAATATTTTTATTACAGACAAAAAAATTTTTTTATACTTTATTATAGATGTTATTGCACTTAGTTACCATTAGTTTTGAATCGAATGAATATTTTCTTGTAACCCTATCTACGAAAAGAAATAAAAAGCATTTGTGAGTCTTTTATTAGCTTAATTTTTTGTTGAAGCTTTTTAAATTATAATTCTAAATCTAGTTAACCGGTATTAGACTAGTTGGCTTTATCATCTAAAAAAAATCTATATTAAAATAATACATTTTTTTTTGTACATAAAAAATAAGGATAAGGAGATAAAAGAAATGCAATTTAGATCTAGGATTATTTCTAATTTTTTTATATTTTGGATATTTGGATCAGCAACATCCTTTGATGTTGCAGAACGAGATTTGGTATGCTTTTGCAAATTGTATTAAATATTTTCGCAATGGAATAATGCAACTTTTGAAATTTCATTCTTTTATATTTTTAGCTTTTATTCAACTTCTGTTTTATTATTCTCTTCTAAGAGTTTTATGCAATCTATATATAAATTTGGCTTGTCTGGGTGTTTGTTTGTTTGTTTGTTTGTCAGTCTGTTTGTTTGTATCCAATAAACGTCAAAACGGCTGAACCGATCGGGCCCAAATTTTTTGTGGGACATCACGTGACCACAGGGAAGGTTTATGAATGATTGAAATTTTAAATATTTGTCTCAATCAAAATTCGATCTTCATTAAATTTTTTAAAATTTTGAAAATCCACGAAATTTTTGTGAAAATCCGCGAATTATTTTTGTTTTGTTTTACGATGTACACAAAGAGAACATTGTTCACAATTATTTTAGAAGATGGGCGCGAAGCGCCCTCTAAGGCTAGAAAGAAGGGCGCGAAGCGCCTTGAATTTCTAGTATTCATTAAATTTAAGCAGGTATCTTGGTTTTTTTTTTTATCGTAAAAAATCGTTTATTGCGTTTTCTCTGCGAAAGAGACCAACGAATGTCTAAATGTCTGCAGCAGAAACATGGAAGAAATCGACAGATAGACGACATTTTCCCCATGGTTACTTTAAAAGGTTTCTAGGGTGCAAGGGTGAATTGGAAATGCAGGTTCACGTGAAATGTGGTGGGCAGTCCCTTTGAGACTCAGTTTTGCTGGCTCCTTGAGCCGCCTTTTTATCGTTATTGTTTTTGGATGATATTAAAGGGATATTAGAGGTGGATCTTTATGGTTCAAGGAATCCACAGCTCTGCAGGCTTGTTTATAGGGATGGGCGGGTGTTGGATTTTAAACATAATTCAGTCTTTTGACGTCTTTCAAGTACTTGAGGTATTAACACAAGGAAAAAGTATACTTTTATAAATTTAGTTTTTTTAACTCATGCAAAAAAAGCAAAAGAAAAAGTAAAAAAGCCTCTTTAAAGGGACTGTAAGTTCAACTTCAAGTGAAACTCCAAGCAAAAACGACAATTGTAAAAATATTTTTTTTTTTACTGTTTATTTTCATTTGTGGATTCTCTGCGAAAATGACTTTCACACGTCTTGCTTCTATAAGAAGAAAAACGATTTCAAGGGTTCCGTTGTAAAGCGGGCATTGCCATCTTTATCTGAAGGGATACTTAAAATTGCGCTTAACAATTTTAAAAAAGGAAGAACAAGTCCATCCCTAATTATGTATGTTTGTGGATTGGTTCAAGAGTTTCTCTAAATCCCCCCCCTCCCCCCCTCGCC